TGGTACGATAACGAAGACGAAGAGCAGGGGGAAAGTTCCGTAAGCTGCAAAGCTTAGCTCGAACGGTACTGGCCCACCGATGATAAGGTCAAGCGACTTGCTTCACCTGATTGTTCAACGTAGTCAGGATACCGAAGACGTTCGGCGCGGACACGCGATATCGCTGCCGGTATCGTCGCCGTTACAACACAGCCGAGCCTTTTCTTTTTCTTTTTTATCTCGTCTCGTTTCTAGTCCGGCTACTGTTACCGCGAAAATTAGCAATTTGCTTGCGGCTGTAAACCGTTAACGAGCAACAACGGCCGCGTAGAACGTGATACCACTTTTCCACACCGCTTTGTCATCACCGTAGAACACCCTTAACGCACGACTCGCGCTGCCGTTACTTTTCTAACACGTTACAACGCCGCGTAACTCGAGCATAGTCGTCGCGATCGTTCGATAACGCTGGAAGATTTCTCGTATAAGGCGACAGAGGGATAGAGTTGTTCGATAGAGAGCCGAAATAGGGGCTGGAACACGATCCATGGAAGACGCGGCGTTGGAGACGGCGGTGAAACACGCTAGACAAATAAGGGGGACGATACGGAAGGCGAGGGCGTGCGCTGCCGTGTGGAAAAGTCATAAAAGTTTGAATGAAAAGTGACTCGGTTCTCCATGACTTCTTAACAATGGTCGCGATTTATTCATAGACATGGCCGCGGCACAGACGTATAGCTGCATACGGTCTCCACGCGGAGTCCATGTTCGGGAAAACTTTCCACCGTGGTACGAAATATTTGATGGAGACCGGCACTGGGTACTATCGATCGGTGGGAACATTTTTGTCGCGCCATTAATACCGTTCGCGGACAAAGGAGCTGCGGTTTCGTTCCGTCGAGCGGTCGACGCTCGATTTAACCATAGGTCAGGTTAAAAAGTTAGATTAGCTTTGAAAACTCCGGGACGAAACTGCACTGGAAATACGACTACAAGTATGCCAACCGTTTTCGTGCCTCTTCTACCTTCTTCTTATGAAACACACTAATCTTAGCTCAGGGTGATATATCGACGGACAATATCTGACAAGATAAATCGTTGTAGATAATCGTTTAAAATTTATACGGAACAAATCTTCGTATCGTTTAACTTATTGAATTTTTCGAGTACTCTCCCGGAAAACGCCTTTGATCTGTAAACGCCCAATCGGAATCCTTGTTTACCGGTTTCTCGCATCCACGTTTCTTTTTATCGCGTCTCGATAGTCAAATCGAATTCTCTCCCTCCTCTGGCGTCTCCCCCTCAAAAAAACCGGTCGGAAGACAAAGACGCGGCAACCTCCCCCCTCGGGAAAATTAAGAAGGGAGAAATATCTCGAGACACATTACACTCTTCGCTACGTAATCGCGAAGGGTAGGTTGGCTCTCCCTCGAGATAGGACCAAGGTTCGCAAGGGTGTCCTCTTAAAACATCCCTTTCAGATCCCCGGCGAGTCTTGGGACGGTGTGAAAGCCACTGTCGTGAAACCGCACACTTAATTTGCCTTGCAAAATTCAGTCCCTCTTTTTCTGCTCGCCTTCTCTCCAGTTCTCCGTCTCCTCTCTTTTTCTCTTTTCCTCTCTCTCTCACTCTTTCCGTCTGACTCGGCGGAAAAAATGCCGGGGCTCAGGTGGGGAGAATGAAAGAACCGCTTCCCCTTTCTGAAAAGGATAGACAGAGCGGGAATTCGAACAGACGAGAAAAGCGTGGCGGCAGAAGGGAAAGAAGAAAGAAGGGAAAAGGCAGCCGTGAGTCTACTCCGATGGTGGTAGAAAAGTGTGCTTAAAATATTAACGCCGGAGGCAGTCCACGAAGGCTAGGGGTGCAGCGTTCTTTGTTCCACGGCGATGGAGGGCCACCGACACGAGAAGGAGGAGAAGGGACGGGGTTGTAGCGTGAAAGAGGACCGCGCAAACAGCCTGCAGCAGCGACGTTCAGTCCTGTTGGCAAACCATCCGCTCTCGTTCGTCCCTCCCCCTTTAGCTCCTTTTCTCCAAGCTCCAACGTCGCGCAAAATAATATATGAAATATGCGCCACGTCGAGTTTTCCGCCGTACAGCCCAAACTTTCTTCTCTTCCTCCTACGTTGCTTCCTCTTTCCCGCCGCAGACAAACCCTGGCCAAGAGTATAAGGGGTGTGAAGCCGAGGCTCGAGTGGCGAGCAAGCTTCGCCCTACCCCCTCCGAGTGCCGTACAGAGAAACGAGGGACGCTAATGAAAAACCTTGAATTTTCCATGAAGGAATTACGGCTTTCGGTACCGTGTACACTTTCTCTCTCTCTCTCTCTCTCTCTCTTTCTATCCTAGTCCCTACTTTCGCTCCGGATACGACATCACCGTGTCGACGAACCAACTCCCCTTATACGGCTTTTGCACCCGCTGTACCGTACAGCTAGCAGGATTATTTTCAGTCACTATACTTGCTCTCTGTTTCTCTCGTTGTCGGAAGCGTTCATTCGTCAGAGGGGTTGGTCTCACCGCCACTGGCCGGATAGTTACGAACAAATTAGGATTCTCCAGTAACCCCTTCTCTTTGGTTTCCGATGACTCCATGCCGTTGGACGCGAGGTGAATTTCAATCGTGGCCGGCAGCAGCGAGCAGAGGGCGGTCTTATCGAGATTAGAGCTCGATTTTCATGGTGTACGCGGCCGCGTTATAATGCCGAGTTTGTCCGACGGCGAAGTCGTTTTCGTTTTATAGCGGTGCACCGCTTTCCTCTCTCTTTCGCCTTCTCGTTCTTCCTCTCTCTCTCCCTCCCTCTCTCCTTTCTCTCTCTCTCTCTCTCTCTCTTCTTGCATCGTAATGAGGCTGATCCCGAATTCTACCGGTGTCCCGGTGTTAATACGTCCGCGAAAGAGAAAACTGATAACGGTTCTCGCTAATAACGACCGATCGTTTGGAGCAGGCGAAAGGGGGAAAACGATTTTTGCCGCTTCGCTGAACGTAGAAATTTGGCAAACAAAATAATCGGGAATTTCACTGAATTTCATCATTTCATAAATATTGGAAAATAAGCATATACGCGCACTTGATTATTTTTCATACGATGTAATTTAATTACGATATTACGGATAAAAGGTGCTGCAACGATTTTATGCTTAATTATTATTGCAGGTATGTTATATATAGTGACAGGGGGAAATTAATTTTTGAAAGCTAATATGTATGTAATGGAAGAATTTATGCTCGTGACTGGCAATCTTCTGGAGATGTTTTTTTGCTTCCAAGCTTTTCATTTATGTGTATTTCATTTTTACGTTATATTTTCACGATAATTTTTACATTGTAAATCGGATAAAGAAGAATCCTTTAAATCTTTCGAAGAAGTACCGTTATCAATCCAAACGGTGGTACTTAAAATGCGCATATTTATAGCATATTCAATCGTAATTTTTTGAATACCCATATTTAATCGTATTAAATTGTATTCAATTATTACTATCGGTAAATCCTTTTAATGGATAACTTAAGTTTATCATCTGCTAATCGCAGGAAAAATTAACGATTAATTTTACTTCTACACTTTGATGAAATTCACGTAACATTTGTTCGAAATTGATCAAAATGCCCGGACGTTTACAAGCGATAGTGTACATGTATTTTTTTCATGTTTCCTACTATTAATTCTGACAGTCGAAAGAACCTATCAATTCGTCAAAAGAATCGATATTGACACGCGTAAATCGGAAAGTAGCAGATTTTACGTTTCGTATTAAACAATACAAACGACGCTGCACTTTAAATAACGTAACAGAAAATATGAAGACAGCTTATAAGCGAGAACACGCGGAACCTTTGATTCAAAGCCGAAGTTGCAACGGAATCGATAAACAAACAGCGTAGTTCGTTTATTAAATTTCCTTGGCGGAACGAAAAACCTTGCAACTACGTTCGGAATAAAAGTAGCGGACTGAAGGGTACAACGGACGTTTCCGCAAACAGTATCGTCTAGTATTGAGGCGTACCACTGGCGGTCGTCGAATTGAATATTGCAAACGGAACCTTTTCTCGAAGAACCGATACAAGCAGACTCGAACGATTCCCCACACCACTTTCCACTTCCTCTTCTTCCGTACCACGTACTCCAAAGACAGGAAGCTTGTACTGGGGTGGTCCGTAAGACCGGAAAGGGTCTGGTAACATCGGCGTGTAAAGAAGGAGGAGAGAGGAACGAGGGGAGAAAGACACAGAGAAGAAAAGTAGAAGAGGAAGAAGGAAAGGAAGAAGACGGTGAAATGAAAATAAAGAAAGAAGGGTCTCAAGCTCGATAAATATTGCGTGTAGCTAAACCGTCGTTGTGGTGCCCTTACGTCGTTCGCATGAACGTTCGTACACGTACGGAAAACCTATACACCGAGATATACGTACACACGAAAGCACATGTTCACACATTGCAGCACACAGGGCACACACAGTTGAATCCAGTGACGCAAAGCACACACGTGCGGTTTACGTGCTTGCACACCACCACAGAGAGTGACGCGGTCTCGCACAGCGTGGACACTCCGGCTGGGCACAGCACGAAATATTTGAGTTGCTTGGCAAACACGTAAATGTAAACGCCGCGTTTACATTGCCGTTTACTTTTCGCCCCCTCTGCTTCTCTCTGCGACGGCCGCTC